AAAAGAGAGAGAGATGAGAGAGAGAGAAAGGAAAGAGAGAGAGGAGATGAGAGAGAGAGAGAGAGAGGAGAGGAGAGAAGAAGAGCACGAGATGAGGAGAGAGAGACGAGATTGTCTCGTTGCGCAACATGCATGACGACGAGCTCGCGCGATCAGCGATCACTGTGTGAAGGTGCGAGTCCGGATGCTTAGCCTGGAGCGCTAGCGCGGACCGGTTCCGGACGCAAGCCCACTGCGTAACTATTATGAATCAAGATCACAAGGTCAAAATGCTACACAGGCCTACACTTTACACCAGCATACACCTAGTAGTAGTACTAGTAGTGTAATCATTGTTTTATAGGCCATGATGATTGAAAGGCATACTGTACCACTATTGCAAAAACATTTTTTAAACAAAACAAATCTGGATATTCGGCAGGAAGAAAAGCATCTACGTATGACCACAGGCACTTGGAAGCATTTCAATAAAATATAATGCTAACTAAATACGAAATCTATATAACTACCCAAACTTCTTAAGGTTTCTTACTCTCTTTCACTATTATTGCCGACAGTTTCTTTGTAAATTCTGTCCAGAATCTTACGTGCAACGTTACCAAATCCTCGCTGCAGCCGCCCATTTGCCTTTTCGCGGCTCCCTACTGTTGCACGCTTACACTAAATATATATAGTTATATATATATTATATATATTAGTTGTATAACTAATATTATATTGTGTGTATATACTACTATATGTATATAAAATTATATATTGATGTAGCAAGCGTTAGTGATGTCTCGATTATCTTATACGTGATCACGCGTTGAACAGTGGTCGAACAAGCGTTTGGTGTAATCAAAATCCAATTAAATCAATTTCATCAAAAATAATAAAAATAAATAAATTTGAAATAATGTAAAACTTGAACCAAGAAAACTTGGAAAAGTGATGAAATCAGAGATATCATCGCTTGTATACAAGTTATCCTTTATTAACATACATGTATTATACACACAGTACGTAAACAGTGTAAACAAACACATAAACAGGGCTAACAAGTACATAACATGCACAGTTAACACACACGTACATGCACACGCAGGCATTCAACACCACCGAGTAACCGATTGTAACCGATCATCGGTTACTTGGGTCCAACCGATGATCGATTACGAAATTACAACCGATTGACAACACTAGTAAGCGTGCAACAGTGGAGCCGCGAAAGCAATGGCGGCTGGCAGCGTAGGATTTTGGTAGCATTGCACGTAGGATTTGGACGGAATTTACAGGAAACTGTCGGCATAATAGGTGAAAGAGAGTATAAGAAACATTAAGAAGTTGGTAGTTACTAAGTACATAGATTTCGTATTTAGTTAGCATTATATTTTATTGAAACGCTTCAAGTGCCTGTGGTACTAGATACTAAGACAGAGCCAAGTCTACAACGATGGCATAAACATCGCGCGATAATGCGTACAACTTACAAGTTACAACAATTAGTGAATTACTATTACCCCAAGTAGTAATACCCCCTCTAGTAGTATCATGAGTATGCTATGTGTTAAGTAGCTCTAGTAACTATAGCCCCGCGGACAGTTGCTGCTGGGCTATAGAACCAGCCATTAGGGATGCGCGGGACCAACTTAGTCACGCTTATTCGCGACTATAAAACATCTGTGGTAGGTCAATTAATGCAGCGGGAACAATTTCTCAGACCAAAAATTTGTGCATAGCAAATTTACTATACGCAAAATAAATTTTGGCACAGCAATTGGATAAATAATTTGTATAGCATTATTTTTCAGACAATCACAGGTGCAAATTACACCGGCAGTGCATGCTTGGCGTGTTATCGTGTCGGCCCTGTGACAGCACAGCTAGCTTAAGGCCTAGGACACACTAGGCGATTCTGCACACTGCCCGCGGCAGCGTTTAAACAGCGTGCAAGCTTGGCACTCGCCGCTCGCCGCAATGTCGATTGAAAATAATATCGGGCCTGGCGAGTGAAAGCTAAGCTGACTCCTCCAGTTGGCGAGTAAAAATAATTGTCTAAGACACTTTAATCAAATGTTGGTTCCTTACGTATTATATTATCCAAACATTGATGAAATACATGTTCTTAGGATTTGTGAAGGAGCGCTATCCGACTCCTCGACCACGACATCCTCACTTTATATTAATCGAAGGTCGGACGAAGAAAGCAGCGCCCGCGAGGACGCGAGCGCGGCAGCGCCAGCACAAGCGTGGCTGTGTATACGTGCCTGGGGCGGCATTTTGATTGATGTACGGGGGGGGGGGGGAGTGCAGGATTGATTTTAAAAGTCACGTTGGCCTTGGTGTTAACAAATCAATAAAATCGGCGTTAACGTGGCATTTCATTGACGGGCAAAGCAGCCCGAGAATAAAAGTAAATTGTAAACATGTATGTTTTCCGTTTACATCTCGCAGGGGTGCATCGCACAACTTGCGATTCATTAAAAAATATGCGTAGCAAATGGCTGAAAATACATCGCTAATTGCCGATGCGATACCGGGGAAATTATTTCCCTGTAATGCCTCTTATCCAAAGTGAATATGGATCTGGATCTGGATAGTTTACTGCGTAGCCCACAATATGTCTTAAGTTATATCAGCTACTAAAATTTAACCTCTGACTATCGTTGCAATGGTATACTTGTGGTATTTCTTGTGAACGAACATTCAATTTGCAAACTTTAAACGGGCATTTTTGGCGGCACTGCAGCAGCGCCAGTCAGCGGGAACTATGTATTTCTGCACGTGGAGGGGTGGGCTGGTTGGGTTGGCTGTGAACAAAAACATTGTTGTTGTCAAGTAACAAATTAAGCGATCAAAAAAGATTGTAATATTAGTTTTGTCTCATGAAAGATGAACAAATTACTATTATTAATTTGTTACTTGACAACAACAATGTTTTTGTCCACAACCAACACAACCCGCCCATCCCTCCACGTGCGGAAATACATAGTTCCCGCTGACTTGCTGGAGTAAGTTGGTCCCGCGCATCCCTAATTGCTGGTCTTATAGCCCAGCGGCAACTGTACACGGGCTATAGTTACTAGAGCTATGTGTAATGTAACATATAACATGTGTATTGTATGATGAAAATATATACACCTATATTTTGTGTACACCGTACACGTGTATAATATATGTCCAAAATATTGTATGTGTATGTTCATAATTTATTCTATTTGTAACCACTGCAACTTGCGAGTAGACCTGCTAGTGATGTTACTGAGTCCAGCCAATGTTCACTGGATGATGAATCAGGTCAGACACACGTACACCTGTGCTGCAATTATATTGTGTTATTACATAACAAGAAACCCAGACTCATGAATAGAAATTGTTTTGCAGGTGTCCTACCAAAAACTGAGTATTACAAACATGATGCTGCCAAAAGGCCAGCCAATAAAACCGCTCTGCGTCGCGTCTCTTACTTTGTTGATGATGCTGGATTTGACCCTACGACTCTCATCCCAGAGCTTTGTACACACATCATATTTGCATTTGTGGCAGAAGTGAACTCCACCCTGGTGCCAACCTCCGATGCACAAGTCAAAAGTAAGTCTGTGTAGATTGCAACAATGTGAATATAGTATATTTCATCTCTTCACACGTTTTCCATTTTCAATTCTGATCTAATGCACTAACATTCCACCAGTAAAACCATGTTGTATGCTCAGCAAGTAACATGTAGGGGTAACTTTTAATGACACAGACAGTACCAAATAACATTAATATACTATTTTCAACCACTTCTGTTTTAGGGCTGAAAAAATTTGCATCACTCAAGTTGCAACACCCAGATGTAAATTTGATGGTGTCAGTCGGTTTGCTTTCTGATACTGTATCTGAAGATTCACAGCGAGAAAGGTACAGCAAATTCTTGTAGTAATTGGTGACGTATTTACAATATAATCGTCATACGCGATGTTCAACAAGTGTTTACATAATTATCTACATAGTGGTAAATGTTAAGCTTTTGTGAATATATGTGTGATTGCATGGATACGTGCATACAGAAATTTGTGTTTGGCCATGCATAATGCACTATTTTCACAGTGAGAGAATTGAGCTGCCTTGGCGGAGGTCTGTGCTCTCCGAGTGCTCTAGTTATATAATGTATTTAATGGCTATGTAACGCGCTCGTTCGTTTGACGTTGTTTCGTTGCTCGGGCTGTAGTTGGCGAGTCACGTGGCGCGAGGTCATGGGTGCGAGTGAGGTCGCACTGTGCCCAGCGTCGATCTGTGCGGAAACACTGCCAGCAAAATGTATGCAGTTATGAAGAGGTTTTGTGCGTCGACATCTTGCAGATTCGATGACGTGGACAAAGCCGATGGTGAGTGGAATACCGCCGCTGCCGCGCAGCCTGCACTCTGCCGAGCTCATCGGGTCGCGGTAAGTTTATCGTCTGCTGGTGATCATGCTGTACGCGAGCCACGACCTTCGCAATCTCGCCACGACCTTCGCAATCTCGCCGAGTCGGCGCACGTCTGCGTGAAGGCGTTCATGTCACACAGCGGGCTCCTCTCTTTCCTTCTTTCTCTCTCTCTTTTTCCTTCTCTCTCTCTCTCTCTTTTTCTTTCTTTCTCTCTCTTCTTTCTTTCTATCTCTTTCTCTTTTTTTCTCTCTCTCTCTCTTTCTCTCTCTCTGTTTCCATTTCTCCCTCTCTCTCTCCTCCTTCACTCTCTCCTCCTTCACTCTCTCCCTTCCCCTCTCTATCTCTTTCTTTCCCCTCTGCCATAATGAATTTTTACTTCTTGTCGACATGTGTTTGCAACTTGACATACTGACATGCCCCCTTCCCACCCGCGCGTCGTCATCCCTGACGGTGCCCCTCTGCTCTCGTTGCAGCATGTTCGTGTTCGGCGGCTGGGTGCCCCTCGTCATGGACGACGTCAAGGTCGCGACCCACGAGAAGGAGTGGAAGTGCACCAACACGCTCGCTTCCCTCAACATAGGTATCGTACCGCCAGGTGGCGCCGCCGACCCGTGCGCACCGCGGGCGCGGTCGGTAGCACTTCTCTGCATGTGTGTGCAAATCCGCGTGTGCATATTTTAACCGTTGTTGCGTAACCATTAGTCTGTCGACTGAGCGTCGATTGTCGCCTTTTTGGCGGCCTTTGTCCTTGACGTTGCGTCGATCGTCGAAACAGAGATCGTTAGACCCGTCAGGTTCTGCTCAGGAAACGTACGTTGACTAAGAGAGGTTATGGGTACGAGGTAACAGCAACGGTAACCTGACTGAGAGGGTGCCTCCGTGGGGAGAGACTAACCCGCGCGTGCCGTCGTCGTCGTTGCAGACACGACGACGTGGGAGCCGCTAGCGATGGAGGTGTTTGAGGACGCGGTGCCGCGAGCGCGCGCCGGCCACTGCTCCGTCGCCATCAACACCCGCCTCTACATCTGGAGCGGCCGCGACGGCTACCGCAAGGCCTGGAACAACCAGGTACGAGCGCGGGCTGCCACCGACCCCGGGTTGGCGGCGATCGCTGCGCCCCCTGCTGGCGATCGGACGCTGCGCAGCGACGGCAGTTCGCTGATCGGCAGGATGAGCGTCGTCTGCTGTCATAGTGACACGGATTGTTCTATTGTGTTAGCTGTTTTTTCATTATGATTATGATTATGGTCATGCCTTTTTGAGGTACGGGTTTATTCTTTATTCCTGATTTTCCCTTGCTTCCAACGGCAGTTCCAACAGGCTTATTCGGCAATTTATTGGGTGTTTTCTTTTGCGGCATTATTTATGATCAGAGGTGTACCTAACGCCACCACAGGCATGTGGAACGTCTCAATAAAAACAAAAAAAGTAAATAAACACAAAATGTATTTACTACCAAAGTCTTAATGTTTCTCTACTCTATTTCGCCTAGATAATCACCTATAAATGCCGGTCAAATGCTCATCTGCAACACACAAGTACACCGCACGCTAGCTGCTGCACACTGACACATAAATATATAACTATATATTTAGGAAGTGATTATTTCCCCGGCAAGCCGGACAACTAAGCCAAGAAATCAAACTAGCTTCTCCGGCAAAAAGCAGAATATGCCGCCAAACTCCATGCCGGATAAACAATTAAGCGCCCATTTCATTATTTCTCCGGCATCCATCAAATTGCCACACCCCCGGCTGCCATCAAGACTGCTCTACTGAGGCCTACAGGCCCTATCGGAGCTAACCACGTGTCAACTCTGCCACGTGGCCGTCCACCATCGCGCCAAAAATTCCTGCCTAACAAATGCCTAATGCTGTAGTGCCATGCTACCAGGAGTGTATCAATATTGATACACTCCTGATGCTACCATGTGGCAAACTGCTCACAGTGTACAAGTTCTCTCCGCCAGGTGCGCTGGGTAGACCACGTGGCCGTCTTCCCGCCTAATACAGCGGCGGCGGGACACTTCGGTCTGCCGGAGAATTTAACTATGATTTTCAGCACTAAGCCGGAGAAGCATGCAGTGCTGAAAACCTACACTTGTTTCTCTCGATCCCGCGCCGGAGATCTAACAAGAAAATTTGTTCTTAATTCTCCAACGATGGTTTTCACCGCTGCTTCTCCGGCTGCCGGAGAAATAATACCAGCCATATATTTATGTGTCAGTGTGGCGGAGAGGGTCTATGTCCCCCAGGGTACTGCCGGAACGTACCCTGGGTACGGTCCGGTATTCCGGAACGTACCCTGGTACTATTTATAATATGCCGGACCGTACCTCACCTACTCCACTACCGAGTCTAGGGAGTCACCTACGCCTACTCCCTAACCCTATCAAATAGTTACCAGGGTACGTTCCGGCAGTAGCCTGGGGGCCGACATACCGGTAGACCCTATGACTATGACTCATGAACGTCTAGCTCCAAGAAACGGTATTGCTAGGGTTACAATAGACAATCCATCGCACAGCCTGGTCGGGCTAATGAACGTCATGACGTGTGCAGCAGCTAGCGTGCGGCGGCCAGCGTGTGTTTGCAGATGAGCATTTGGACGGCATTTACAGGAAATTGTCGGCAATAATAGGTGAGAGAGTAGAGAAACATTAAGACTTTGGTAGTAAATAGATTTCGTATTTATTTAGCATTATATTTTATTATAACGCTCCAAGTGCATGTGAACGCCACGGCAACGATGGATTAGATTAGCAGTTTGAGAGCAGCAAAACCACACCGTCACAACGGTATGAGTAATTATATCTAATACGTGTATAGTTGTAGAATGCGAATAGCTCCTGGCGATAGGTTAGTTGTATAGCTATAAGAACTAAGCCGGGGATCTGTGTGTCCTCTCATGTGCTCCAAGGAGCAGAATACATTGCTCTCAAGTCTATTTTGGTGGCCACTACTGCACTAGGAACAAATCACTGCCGGTTCATCACCCAGGTGATGAACCGGTAGTGAATCAGTATATTTTATTAGACGATAGAGGTCGACACTTGTGGTGCAAGGTCCACGATAATGTTTACCAAAGATGTTTACTATGACCATAAGCTGTGACGATGAGAATAATATGTTTATAACGTTATACTTAGTTATAGTATCATAATCATGTTCTTGCATATTTACCTAAAAGGTTTATGATGATGTTTTCGCTCATTCCAATTTCCATGATGAGGGCGTTAGAAGTGAGCAAGTTCATAAGTACGATGAGATTTTACGGGTTTGTATTCGTTGTGCTGGTGACAGTTTTTGTCGCCAGACATGATCAACAAGTCGAGGGAAGTTTATCCGTTAATGACATTATTAACAAGAGACTACAGGTTCTGGGCGAGATATATGCCGAAGAAACAAAAAATACAGATGACTTCGTTCATAATAAAGGTATGCGTCGGTGTCACACTATAGACATACTGTCACATAGTCATGTGTGCATCCTGTACTAGACACAGGCACTTGAAACGGCTAAAAAAAGAAATAATGGTGAATAAACACGAAATGTATTTACTACTAAAGTCTTACTGTTTCTCTACTCTATTTTGCCTATTATTGTCGATAATTACCTGTAAATGTCGGTCAAATGCTCACCTGCAACACACAAGTACACGACACGCACGCCCTGTGCACAAACAACAAGAATTGAGCGTTCTCTTCTTATTGTTGTCAATGTTGAGAACAAGAAGAAGAGTTCTTGTTTGTGCACATGACGTGCGTGCGTGTTGCAGATGAACATTTGACCGGCATTTACAGGTAATTATCAGAAATAATAGGCAAAATAGAGTAGAGAAACATAAGACTTTGGTAGTAAATACATTTTGTGTTTATTTACCTATTTTATATTTTTTATTGAGACGTTCCAAGTGCCTGCATGTGTGCTGCACTACCTCAGTACCATGTGGAGAATAATAACTAGTTGTCCGTGGCTATGCGACCGGTTCAGGACGAGGAGCCGCTAGGCTACGCGTCCGGACATCCATCTCACACAGTGATCTTGCGACACGTACACGCATGATTGCGCAACGGGACGCTCTGCTGATTGCCGAGTGTGTGTGTGTGTGTGCATGTGCATGCGTGTGTGAGAGAGGTGTGTGTGTGTGCACAGGCCCTTGGAGGCTCAAGTTTCAAGAAGAGTATAACTCAGGGTTCTCCAAGAGCACTTCTCCAAGAGCCCCTCCATCCTAAAATGCACCCGCCACTCTAAATATCATAGCCGCCATGCTAAATATCATAGCCCCCCGGACCTCCCTAGCACGCAAACCGCCTTCGGCAATTTGCAACCAGGACTGTAAAGGCGCAGCACCCGCCATGCTATAATGAAAAAGCTTGGAGAACCCTGTAACTCACTATAAGAGCAAAGCGCTTCACTCTTAATATATAATTTCAAGAGTACAGAAGTGTGTACGCGTTTATGGCACAGTGTTCAGCCCTTCCCATTGTGGATTGTGCAGGTTTTAGATAAAAAGTTGATGTGTACAATATAGCCAGCCATTTGTGTATGGCATGCTGTGCAGCTGCTGCAGGTAATTCCCACCCAATCAAGATATCCAATACAGCTAACATGCATATCTACCATATGCTACAAAAAATTCTATAGATGGTTGAGTGGGTTACTTAATTTTAGCTTTAATGATAATGTTTATTTACAACAGACATTACTTTTTATATCTATGTTAATTTTCCTATGAAATACCAACAAGAAACAAATAAAAATGTTATCTGAGAAATTGTGTACATGTAGTTATGATTACAATTATTATAGTGGTCTTCGGCCAACACTCGATCCACTATAATCTGTAGGAAAGATAAGTGTTTCACTGCTTATTGTACGGCGTATAATAGATTCAATTGAATGAGTTCATCGGTGGTGTCAATTTCTTTGTTTGATTACATTTTAATTGACATGGTATTAATTTTCCTTTGCCACCATGATTTGCCCGTGGTTTTGTTTCAGTATATCTATGCATGAATAAAGATTCTTGGATTCTCCAATCTTATAATTTATGAGTTATATATGTCAATTTGTGTATTATAATTAAATTATTATCAAAAAGGATAAATTGGGAGAAGGTGAAGAAAGTAGAGGTCAAAGAAGGTAACAAGGTAGGTTGAGAAAAGATACAGGGTGGAAAAAAGGTGGAGTGGGAGAGAAGACCTAGGAGGCAGAGAAGGCATAGAAGGGGGGAAATGTATAGGAGTGGGAGAATGTATAGAAGGAATGATAGCAGAGAAGAGGGGAGAAGGTAGAGGCTGTAGAGAACGTAAGAAAATATAGGAGGGAATAAAAATCGAAAGGCAAAAATTGGAGGTGAAGGAAAGGGAGAAGATCAGGGATTGAAGGTGGAGTACAGGAAGATCTGGGCTAGGTGGAGGACAGGAAGAAGATCTTGGATAGGTGGATGACATGGAGAAGATCGGGGATAGAAGGTGGAGGACAGGGAGACGATTGGGGGTCGAAGGTGGAGGACAGGGAGACGATCGGGGATAGAAGGTGGAGGACAGGGAGAATTTCGGGGATAGGTGGAGAAGAAAAGTAGCAGAAATGTAAAGAAGATGAAGGATGGGCAATGTGGGATCGAGATAAAGGACGTGAAGTGGCGGATTCTGAGAAACAGGGGAAATGGAGATAACGGAGCTGGAGTGGAGACAAACAATTGGGATACGGCAAAGACGGTAGAGGAGACGAGGAGACAATGGCGTGGAGAAAGCACCAAATTGAAGGTTTAGAAAGGGAAGAGGAGGTTGTAGTCACGTGGGAGAAAGTAGACGAGGGGAGATGGATAAGTGATATTCCATTAGGAGTGTTTCCAACTTTAATGTCATTAATGGTCATAATAACATATATATATATATATATATATATATGGTCATGGTCATATATTAGTTTGTGGTTTAATGTCATTTAGGTTAGGGTTAGGGTTATCAATCATTAATCATTAATGATATCAAAGTTGGGAACACCTAATGGAGCGTTAGCCAGATGGATCATGGAACAGAGTAGAAAACGGATGAGACATTGTGGAGTGCGATGAGCCGCCTTCAATACGGTGATTTAATTTTCTCCCACCACTTTCAAATATAATCTTTCTATTTTCTTCCATCTATTCCCACTACTATTATGAATTAAACTATCAAATGAAGAATCTATTAGAGATCATCGTCAACGTCTACTGAGAACGATAGAACAGCTAAAATTGTCACATGATAGATGTCTGCATATCTATTGGATAACATTTTGAATAGACATACGGGACCTTTTCTCCTTCCTGACGCTTTCTGGGATACAGAGCAAGATGGCGGCACCCATCTTGAAGTGGAAGAGACTAACAAACACAACTGGACCATGCCCACGGCCTCGCCATGGCCATCGGGCAGTTGCGATCAAAGATCTAATGGTGGTCTTCGGTGGGGGCAATGAAGGAATCGTTGATGAGCTTCACGTCTATAATTCAAGTAAGTATAAGTTCGATAAGCCCTGCCCCAACGATTTTCCAAGATGGCGTGTTGTTGTGTTTGTTGTTATCGTTCCTTGTTTTCGGTATATTATCTCTAGAAACAAAATTTACGGTGAAATCAGCCATTACCATTATGATATGTCGTTTGTCAATACACTAAAAATTAATTTATCTCTAACCGTCTTTCGTAGCAATCTATTCTACGAAGTCATTAATCCAAAATGGCAGCCCCCAATGTGCCGCCATATAAACGATTTGTGCTATCTTCCTACGTTTCTAAGAAATTTGATCAATAATATTATGCGTGATTTCTGGCTTAAACACTAATGTGTGTGGTGGGTATATGTTTTCCGCGTGCATGCGTTAGACAAGGTTGATAAAATCGGCGTTTATTCATGTTATTTGAAAAAAACAATATGGCTGCCTTGCGCGCGCCATTGTTTATGTCGGCCAGCGGGGTAGTGATACACGTAAGGGTTTTTTGGGAAATAACATATTGGCTGTGTGCCAACAATAGTCCAGCAATGTGTTATATTATGCTAAAGTGTGCTTTCTGACTTCAAGGTACGTTGATTTTGTGAATGTCATGTGTTACGACTACCACTCCTGGGGATTTCCTCACGACATCGTCACCAATCACCAAAGCCCCCTCTTTCGGAGGAAAGCAGAAATCTTGTACTTTGGCACTGAGAACACAGTAAGTAATTGGTCCATATGTTATAGCAAGTTTAGCTTGACTGAGTGGGTGTGGTTATCTCGCTCTGCAGGATAGTGTGATTAATGAACCATTGATTATTGTTTGTAGGCATGGTCTGTGACGCATTGGGCCGAGGCTGGAATGCCTAAAGATAAGATAGTGGTAGGCATCCCGGCGTATTCTCATACATTCACCCTGCTCACCGAAGTCTGGCATGGGTTCTACGCACCAGCGATTGGACCGGGAAAGAGAGGAAACTTCAGTGATGGACCAGGGACTCTTATATGGCCATCTGTACGTGTTATATTCCATTGCTTCTTTCCGTTCTATGAGAATTTTTATTATCGGAAAAAAACAACAACGTGGAATGCAGCTGCTGTTGTGCTGAGGCTGTTGAACCCTAATTACAGATCTGTACAATGCTGAAGGAAGGAATGGTAGAAGTGTTTGATGATCAGGCTGAGGTTCCTTATGGTTACCGTGGCGACCAGTGGGCTGGTTACGAGAATGAACGTAGCGTTGGTGTAAAGGTAGGCAAAATATATACTCCTTATCACTTTTTGCTGGTACCAATAATTAATTAATTGTATGCCCTTTCCATTCTGAGAGCAACATTAAGAGGGCAAAGGCATATTAACATTTCTCACATGTCTTGTTCATATTATCTGGTCCAGGTTTCATATTATCCCCCATATCACGGATGATATGGAGATAGTGCATCATTTTGCCAGATGTTTGATTTTTTCTGATTGGTATTTTTTATTGAAATTTGTTATTGCAGTGCAATTGGTTAAAGAGCCAAGGATTTGGTGGTGCCATGATGTTTAGTCTCAATACTGATGACAGTGCTGCCATCTGTGATGGAAAGACCAAGTTCCCTTTACATCGGGCCATGTATCAAGCTTTAACTAGCACAGGAACGACTTATAGTTGAAGCAATTTCAAGAGTACAGAAGTGTGTACGCGTTTATGGCACAGTGTTCAGCCTTTCCCATTGTGGATTGTGCAGGTTTTAGATAAAAAGTTGATGTGTACAATATAGCCAGCCATTTGTGTATGGCATGCTGTGCAGCTGCTGCAGGTAATTCCCACCCAATCAAGATATCCAATACAGCTAACATGCATATCTACCATATGCTACAAAAAATTCTATAGATGGTTGAGTGGGTTACTTAATTTTAGCTTTAATGATAATGTTTATTTACAACAGACATTGCTTTTTATATCTATGTTAATTTTCCTATGAAATACCAACAAGAAACAAATAAAAATGTTATCTGAGAAATTGTGTACATGTAGTTATGATTACAATTATTATAGTGGTCCTCGGCCAACACTCGATCCACTATAATCTGTAGGAAAGATAAGTGTTTCACTGCTTATTGTACGGTGTATAATAGATTCAATTGAATGAGTTCATCGGTGGTGTCAATTTCTTTGTTTGATTACATTTTAATTGACATGGTATTAATTTTCCTTTGCCACCATGATTTGCTCGTGGTTTTGTTACAGTATATCTATGCATGAATAAATATTCTTGGATTCTTCAATCTTATAATTTATGAGTTATATATGTCAATTTGTGTATTATAATTAAATTATTATCAAAAAGGATAAATTGGGAGAAGGTGAAGAAAGTAGAGGTCAAAGAAGGTAACAAGGTAGGTTGAGAAAAGATACAGGGTAGAAAAAAGGTGGAGTGGGAGAGAAGACCTAGGAGGCAGAGAAGGCATAGAAGGGGGAAAATGTATAGGAGTGAGAGAATGTATAGAAGGAATGATAGCAGAGAAGAGGGGAGAAGGTAGAGGCTGTAGAGAACGTAAGAAAATATAGGAGGGAATAAAAATCGAAAGGCAAAAATTGGAGGTGAAGGAAAGGGAGAAGATCAGGGATTGAAGGTGGAGTACAGGAAGATCTGGGCTAGGTGGAGGACAGGAAGAAGATCTTGGATAGGTGGATGACATGGAGAAGATCGGGGATAGAAGGTGGAGGACAGGGAGACGATTGGGGGTCGAAGGTGGAGGACAGGGAGACGATCGGGGATAGGTGGAGAAGAAAAGTAGCAGAAATGTAAAGAAGATGAAGGATGGGCAATGTGGGATCGAGATAAAGGACGTGAAGTGGCGGATTCTGAGAAACAGGGGAAATGGAGATAACGGAGCTGGAGTGGAGACAAACAATTGGGATACGGCAAAGACGGTAGAGGAGACGAGGTGACAATGGCGTGGAGAAAGCACCAAATTGTAGGTTTAGAAAGGGAAGAGGAGGTTGTAGTCACGTGGGAGAAAGTAGACGAGGGGAGATGGATGGGTGATATTCCATTAGGAGTGTTTCCAACTTTAATGTCATTAATGGTCATAATAACATATATATACGTAGTCACATCAGAGATTGCTTTCATTGTCTCGTCATCGTCTGTCACGTTGTTCTCTCATCGTCTGCGTTGGCGGCAGGTGTGCTGCAAGGACCTGTGGTTCCTCGAGACGGAGAAGCCGCCGGCGTCCTCTCGTGTGCAGCTAGTGCGCGCGAGCACCAACACGCTCGAGGTGTCGTGGGGCAGCGTGCCGACGGCGGAGGCCTACCTCCTGCAGCTGCAGAAGTTTGAGATGCCACCACAGCAGGTGCGTGCGTGGGCGGGCGGGGGACCGGGCATGCTGGGCTGGTGGGCGGGTGGCTGTATCAATTGTTGGAGAGTGGCTGTGTGGGTTGTGGGTTGTGGGCAGGATGCTGTGTGGGTTGTGGGCAGGATGCTGTGTGGGTTGTGGGCAGGATGCTGTGTGGGTTGTGGGTTGTGGGCAGGATGCTGTGTGGGTTGTGTGTAGGTGGCTGCATGGGTTGTGGGCTGTCAAATCAGGTAGTCCGACAGTAAATCAGCGAGTATTTGACTCCGGACTCCCGTTAATTTCGCACCCTGTACATATGACATACTTACATTTATATGTAAATTGTGATCGTTGCAGGCGATGGCACCCGCCGGCACACCGGTGCCCATCAACACACCGAAGACGTACGAGCGCACGCCCGTCATGGCCGTCCACCCGCCGCAGGTGAAGTCGCCCACGCAGCTGCAGACGATCCGACTTCCCGCCGCTGCCCTCAGCTCCATCAGCAACAACCCGGCCGGTGAGTAACGCGGCGCCCCCTGGCGATCGCGAGGGTTTCGGCGTCGGACGGCGCCCTCTGTGTGCGCGTCCGTCGCGCAATCGCGAGAGTATTCATACGTACGTCGGTTCGGTCTTGAGGTATCTGGCGCCCTCTGTAGGTAGCATAAGCGCAGCTGTTTCATGTCGGATGACGAAACAGGTGTCCGGCGGCGTCCCTGTAGGCAATGTAATTGCACGATTTTGCGCGCCTGACTGCGTGCGCTGAAATCCGTCTGCGCGTGAATCAGTCCACGTGGATATCGGTCGGCACGTGAATCAGTCCACGTGAATATCGGTCGGCACGTGAATCAGTCCACGTGGATATCGGTCGGCACGTGAATCAGTCCACGTGGATATCGGTCGGCACGTGAATCAGTCCACGTGGATATCGGTCGGCACGTGAATCAGTCCACGTGAATATCGGTCGGCACGTGAATCAGTCCGCGTGGATATCGGTCGGCACGTGAATCAGTCCGCGTGGATATCGGTCGGCACGTGAATCAGTCCGCGTGAATATCGGTCTGCGCGAGATTCCGTCGCTGCGTGTGCGTTGGGCTGGTGAGGCAGACGAGCGATCGTGACGTGAGCGCGTTGTGTTTGCGTCGTCGTTGTGCAGGGACGACCATCTTGCGAGCAGGGGGCGGACAGCAGCTGAAGGTCGTCGGCAGCACCGCGCAGCTGCTCAGCGGAGCTCAGATGCGAACCATCTCCATCGCCGGGACGACGGTACGTGCTCACGCGGCGCCACCTACGGGAGACGGAAGCGAATGTCTGGACGCTCGCGGTAGACTGCCTTGCAGTCATTGTATAGCAGACTGACTACCACTTATATACACACGTAGCATTGTAGACAATATATAAAAACAGGGGGACAATATAGAGGGTGAACGATCTATGAGTTAAAACGAATCAAACTGCTTGGAGGTTATTTACCCTCGATAACAAATAAAATGCATAATGTGGTAAATATGTACATATACGTCCACACATGTATACATATGTCCCTTTGTCTGAGAACGAATAGAATATTTAAACCATCATTAACGAATCTTTTGCCATTTATTGCATCTGTGTCATCTACTGTCGTCTCATGCAATCAATCGTCGCTATCAAAAAATAATTTTGAAACAATGAATTATGACAATTGTTTGCGCGAGCGTCCAACAATAACGAATCGTCGCTCTAGGCGACGGCGACGACGTCGATGACAGGTATCGCCGCCCTGGCGGCGGCGGCCGCGCAGACGCAGAAGATCACGATGACGCAGTCGTCGCCGACGACGAGCATTCGCGTCGTCACGCCTCAGGGCACCGTCATGACTCCGCAAGGCCTTAAGCTGCAGACCGGTGAGTCACCGACCCCCCCCTGACCCCCAACCCCTGAACCCACGCCACGGCACAACGTGACGCGGTCGAATCGCCGCGATTATCTCGGCGCTATCCCGTCGGATTGTCTCGATACGTTTCGATGCGATCGTGTCTAATCACTGCGTAGGATTAGGGATTGGGTTTGGGGAATGTTTGGAGTTAGGGATTGGCTTAGGGTTGGGTTAAGGATAGTTTTATGGATAGGGTTGTGATTAGGGATAGGGTTATGGTTAGGGATAGAGTTGGAGTTAGTGATAAGATTAGGGTTAAGGTTAAGGTTACAGTTAGGGACAAGATTACAGTTGTGGTTGTGGTTAGGGATAGGGGCACGGTTACTGTTAGTGATAGGATTAGGATTAAGGTTAGGAATAGGATCAATGTTAGAGACAGAATTACAATTAAGGTTATAATCAAGGTTAGGGTTAGGATGCAGTCCAGATCTCTCTCTCGCGCACACGCGAGTCACTGACCTTCGACCTTCCACGCCCCGCAGGTCAGCAGGTGCGGCTGACGACGCCGGCCACGACCATTCTGAAGACGGCGGCGGGGGTGGCCGGGCAGCAGCTCGGGGGCAAGCAGATCATCACCGTGCAGAAGACGAGCGGCGGCGTCGGGCAGCCGCAGATCGTCACGCTCGTCAAGACGACGCAGGGCATGCAGGTGCAGCAGGTGCAGCAGCAGCCGCAGCAGCAGCAGGCGCAGGTGCAGGTGCAACAGCCGCAGATACAGACGGTGCGTGTGCGTGCGGTGGGCGAGCGAGCGGGGGGAAGGCTCTGTGAGAAGGCGTGTACCTGTTTTAAATGTAGGCGGTGTGTGTGTGCGTGTGTGCGTGTGTGCGTGCGTGTGCGTGTGTGCGTGCGTGTGTGTGTGTGTGTGTGTGCGCGTGTGTGTGTGTGTGTGCGTGTGTGTGTGTGTGTGTGTGAAGCCCGTAGATAAATGCGGCAGCATGTGAAGGAATTAATATAACTGTATAAAGTATAGAGTAAATGCGTGCCTGTACGTTGTTAAACCTCGTAAGTGAAACTCTGGTCACAATACTAGATGCATGTATACACATACACATCAAGAGTAGATAATAACACAAGAGTGAGACACCTGATTCCCGCATTTTTAACCGATTTTTCTCATCAAAATTTGCCACCAATAGAGAAGCAAGTGTATACGTTCCTCAGCTTATTATGACCACTAATCACTCACCTTCGTGGTACTGATATTCGTTTACATATATTTGCTAGCGTATTGCTATAAATCGTAATTTATTGCTATTGTGTGAGGTGTTAAGACAAATTTTGAAGCTATAGTGGCGCCAATATTTAGCAACGGACTTCCAAATCATTCGTGCCCCAATAGGGTTAAGAGACAATCTAATTTTGATCTCGTGAGGAACCGCGAGACGCGCTCAGTTATTGTGATCGCAACACAAGAAATTGACGTACTATATTACATAAGTAATAATACAATAATAACAATATTCTCTGTAGTAGTTTGCAGTAAGTATCACATTACACATGTGCAGGTAATCAAGTACATTAAACCCCTATCGGGGTACGAATGATTTGGAAACAGTCCGTTGCTAAATATTGGCGCCACTATAGCTTCAAAATTTGTCTTAACATCTCACACAATAGCGGTAAATTGTGCGAATTCAGCTCGTGCAAGATTACGATTTACAGCAATACGCTAGCAAATATATGTAAACGAATATCAGTACCACAAAGGTGAGTAGCTGAGGAACGTATACACTTGCTTCTTTATTGGTGGCAAATTTGGATGAAAAAAAATCGGTTAAAAATGCGGGAATCGGGTGTCTCACTCTTGTGTTATTATCTACTCTTGATACACATATATATATATATACATACTCTGAACTACTACTAGGAGATTTTTGTCGGTCGTCGTTGCGACCCGTGGCCTCTTAGATAGCCAGTTATGAGATTGATTGTGCCAGGTGTCGTGGCATCGTTGACAAATCGCCCGTCGCTGGAACGAACATGCCAGATGACAATTTTTAAAATTTGTTCTTGATCGCTGCTTCGAGCATCCTGCATTTGTCTCCTGCTACTCGGGGGCGTTGATTGATCGCGCAGACGACAGCCGGTGTACATGCGTGTGCTCGTGGGTTTACGTTGTCTGCGTCTTGCATTCCCCACAGGTTCCAAAGATGTCCATCGTGCAAGCTGGTCAGAACAGAACCATACAGACGATGCAACTCGCAGGGGTGAGTGACCGCGAGCGAGTTATACACTACGAGCGATTCATGCGCGAGATATATACTACGAGTGATTTATACACGGGATATATACTACGAGCAATTCATACGCGAGATATATACTACGAGTGATTTATGCGTGAGATATATACTACGAGCAATTCATACACGGGATATATACTACGAGTGATTTATGCGTGAGATATATACTACGAGCAATTCATACACGGGATATATAGTAG